GCTCAAATGCAAACACTACAAAGTGGGCACCAAACTAACGCACGACGCACAAGACGAACTCGTCAAACAGAAAAATTACGTTTAAAATTGCGTGGCTCGATACAGGAGCGAAATGCTGTCACGATCACAGCACTAAGGTACTTAATCCCTCAGCCGAAAGGAGGCCGCGTGTACGCGATATGTATGTACATACGCTGATGGGGGTGTAAGTGCGCGACAGAAGGCGCGAGGCGTCAGCGCGAAAGCTCGCTTCAAACAAGCACCACGCTCGTCTCTCGACAATTGTCTACGACCGCACTTATGACGTAACGCTCTACGCGACTGCTGCTCTTCGATGATAGAGTATCAATACGGAAAATTGTATGCTACGGCTACAGCTCAACGGGCACCAACGGGGCTTTACTTTAGTCTATGGAAGGGAAAAAGAGAAGGAAGAAAGGAGCGAAGGGGAGAGAGAGACAGTGAGAGAGAGAGAGAGAGAGAGAGAGAGAGAGAACGTACCGACGACCGTGGAGTGTAAAGTGCAAACTATGACGATCTGGGAACGACGTGTGCCAAGCCAAGTGTGGCGGCGAAGAATCCGTGAAGATGCGCGTTTCTACCTCTCCTTGTTTTCAACTAATCAACATGTGGCAGAACGATACACGACAGACTCGCAAACCTTTCAACGTACCTACGAGTCGCCTGATCAACCTGATCACGGTGACTATTGGACACAGTCGCCACCTAGTGAACGTCTGTCCGGCTCGTTCGTTCTCGTGGCAGTTGTATGGCTCGAATTAAAGCTCTAGATTTACAAGAGTAATGCGAAAGTCTGCCATTTTTGGCCTAGTTTACATCATGCACTTGATAAGCTGGAAACACAATAGGAACAGGAAATAAGAAATTTCAACCTATCGAAAAGCGTCAATTCCATTATATATCATTTTTGATAGGTTGAAATTTGTTACTTCTTGTTCCTATTGCCTATGCTTTTCATATACTGCATTCAGCGGAATTATAAACATAGCGCCGATCTCAATCAACTCCGATTAGCCTAATCGGTCGATTGTTACATTGGAACTGATCAATCGGATTTTCTGTTCAGTAGAATCGACCAATCACAGTTGACACACTTAATCGACCAATTAGCTTAATCGAAGTTGGAGATCGGGCTATAGGCCAGTATTCATAGGGAGAAATCCATAGACGTTGATCAAGATTTAAAATGGTCTTAAGTTAATGCTTAAGATTTCATGAACCAATCAAAGGCCGGTATTTATAATCATTTCTTAAGTTTGTCGCGTCGCATGCTCCAACACTTCTACTTCCTCCAACCGTATAGCTGCTTCTACTCACTCAAATGCGCTCATTAAAATGAGTAGGAGCTATGGTAAAGACATGTTGAAGCATAGTTGGAGTATGCAACGCGAAAAAATTTCTTAAACCGGTTTAATCTATTAAACCATTGATTTTAAAATGCAAGCTTTAGATTGGCTGTCGCAACAAACTTGCGATCAGCTTGCAACTAATGTAGAACTGGCTTTATATTCATGACCGTTTTAAGTACGGTCTTAAAAAGTCACGAACTAATCAGAGGGTATTAGCGTCTTAAGACTTTATTTAAGACGGTCTTAAAAAGAAATAAGAATCGACGAATATGAGTGCGGTCCACTTGACGCTATAAATACTTTAAAACTTTTGAAGACCAATCTAGGAATATTGCAATTGGAAAGCAATCACAATCAGTTCTTATTTTACGATCGTCTAAAGTAACGTCTAAGTAATGGTGCGGCCACAATGGAAGGAATAAGGAATCCAACCTATCAGAAACTGTGTATTCCAGTGTATCCAATATCTGATAGGTTGAAAGCTTTATTCCTAATTTCTTATTTCTTCTATTGTGGCTGCACCTTAAGACGCTAATGCCCTCTGATTGGTTCGTAACACCTCAAGACAAAACTTACAACGGTCTTGAATATAAGAACTGACTATGAATACTGGCCTCTTTACCTAACCTTGTCTTCTTCCACCATGGTAGCCTGTATAGGTATGATACCCTATGATACCCAATATTGAATGCATTCAGTATTACGATCGTTCACTGAGCGCTCATTAAGCGGTTCTGGGGCTCTATTCTTGAGCACATACAACTAATTTTTACAAAAATGATAGTTTCTCGACTGTGATTGGTCGATTGTATACGGAATTGCTAATTTCGTATGCGATACTTGTTCAAAAATAGGGCCCTTAGGCTTTTTATCGAAAAATTAGGGAAGTGCTATAATATATGTAACGCATACTATATTTCCCTAATTTTTCGTATCGCGATACTTTTCGAGAATAGATGCCCAGAGACCCCTATTCTTATAACAAAAAAAAAACTTATATGAAAGTCTAGGGAAATACTACAAAATCTGTTACATATAATATAGTATTTCTCTAATTTTTCGTATACGTTTCCTTTCGAAGAATAGAGGCCCAAAGCTTGAGATTGTAGTACTGAATGAATCGATTACATACGTTCATTTTTTATCATATTATGAATTTTTCAAGCATGTTAATTGGCTGCAAGACAGAGAATCTCAGATCTATTTGTCCTATAACAATCGATAGACTTGAAAAATTTATCGTACGTAAAAAACGCACGCATATAACTTTCTACATTGGTTGTATCACAGTGTCGGAAGCGTCGTAAGCATCATGCGGCTTTAAAATTAAAGCATCGAATTGGCTGAAGCAACAAGCTTGTGACTTGCGACATCTACGATACGATCAATGTAGAATGGCCTTAATATTGGCCTAATGCTGGATTCATACTGGATTCGACGTGCGTCATACGACATTCTGCAACCAATCAGAAAGCAGAATTCTATATCGATGATACGAAGCAAAATCCTGTTTTTCTGATTAGTTGCAGAGCGTCGTATGACGCACATCGGATTCAGTGTAAATTCAGCATAAGGATACGGTCCACTTGACGCTACAAATGCTTCGAAGCTTTTGATTGACCAATCGGAAGAATTTTACTATCTTTCAACTTTTGTTGTAACTGTCGGAAATATTAGAAAAATCGTGCAGACCGTTACGTTGGATACTCTGTATAAGAGATATACGTAAAACATAAAAGAACATTATTTATTTGTCTTTATAAGTATATATTGTAATAATTAACAAAAAAATTCACATTCTGCTGCGAAAATAGAAAAATTAACAACTAAGAGAGAAGGAACTCAGAGACAGTTTTAAATACACACACAATCTTAAGATGTCATGAACCAGTCAGTATTAGTCTTATTTATCTTAAGATATTATTTATAAAACGATCTTAAAATAAGAATCTATTTTAATATCGTCCAATAGAGATTCAATTAATTCATGGAAAATAAATAATAACTAAAAATATATAATAATTTATTACGAATATTAATATAATTACATTATTATAATTATTGAAATATATACATACATAATATATATAATAGTTATTACATACATTTTTTTAATCTTAAAGAAATTGTTCTCTATTATACGATTTTAGAATCAGATCCACTATATCTATTTATTTTATTTTCGTCCATATCGTACATTGCATTGAGCTTGCGAATAAAGTTTTTTGTTCTGTCGTAAACAAAATTGTCCATTTGGCCCAAAACATTGACCAACTCGATTATTTTTTCAAATCCACGATTTATCTTTTCAGATCTGTCAACGTCTGATATTGTTTGGAATTGTGATTCTTTTTTCAGTAAATTCCTAGATAATTGTTCAGATTTATTTTCCGCCGATATTTCGACAGCGTCTACAAGTGATATCTGGCAAAATTTAACAAAATTAATTTTTCTTAAAAAAGTATATAACTATTGGCCTAGTGTACATCGTCTTAATACGGATACTAACTAGTTTTCTATTTTACTTACTAATTTTCTATTGAATTATCTTAATTTCGGCGATATATATGTAAACTAAACATATCCATGATAGTTAATTAATCATTTGGATAATATTATTATATCAATTTTAGTACATCATTCTTTAAATACATTGCTAAAATTAAGATAATTTAACAGAAATAAGTTACTAATTAATACGCGTATCAAGTGTTTGATGTAAACTAAAATAAAGTCATTATCTTTTTGATCGAATTGAATTAGACAATTTCGCGCATGCAGTAGTTAATGTATAGTTCTATTACTTTATTTGATCTTACCATATACATAACAAAGACTGAGACAAAGAATATATCCATTTTGTCAAAATGCTAATTGCACTAATCTCTCCGTGTAACACCGTCTACTCCAAAGTTTTTTTTCTTGAAAAATTAATAATAATTGACAAGAATAATGCACTCTCGTTGATTCGATCAATATATTGGGTCCTTAACTAACAATGAGACGATTCGACGATTTGCATCCTTTTATATATAAGAATCGTATATGTATGCACATTCGATTGCATATTGTGTAGACGTACGGAATCATTTTTAAAATTTTATTAATATCTTTTTTACATTAAAATTAATTAACTTGATTGAATATGTAGACTGACTTTAATACGTCAGAAATACTGTTAATTAGAGATTATGAATCTTGAATCATTTTAATACAATTTTATATCAATTAAAATTTAAAACATTTTATTTATAGGTCACATCAGCAAATTCTTCTTATAGTATATGGGTTTGACTGACGTTTGCAATGCGAAAGCAATGTGGAATCCGCTGATTAGGTGTAATTACTTGTTTTGTCGTTAGGTTACTAAATCCAATAACGGGTGAAAA